TTCTATTAAACTATTTCTTGTATAAGCATATTTTCACCTCCCAGAAATCAAGAAGACAGAATGCTGTGAAACTCAAGTTGCTGACATCACCAAAACTATATGAGTAAATATTGACAAAATTTTTAATGCATTTTCTTTTTATTTATTTAATCTTTATTAACTAACTAATGTTATCATCCTAAAATAGCTAATAAATAAAACAAAACAAAATCCACATTAAAAAAAATTGTTTTTCTAGCAGTCTTTGTCTCCAAATAAAAAACAAACCTGTTGCTGTCAAGTTGATTGTGACTCACAATGACCCCAACATGACAGAGTGAACTGCCCCATAAAGTTCTCAAGGCTGTAATCTTTACGGGAACAGATTGCCAAATCTTTTCACTCGCAGAGTCACTGGGTCGGTTCAAACAGCCAACCTTTCAGTTAGCAGCCCAGTGTTTTAACCACTGTGTCACCAGGGCTCATTTATTCTGTGTTGAGGAGGGGGAAAAAAAAATCAGAGATACTTTAAGAGGGCCTGCTATGTACCCAAGTTTCTGGGTGGTACAAATGATTAATGTGCTTGACTGCTAACCAAAAGGTTGGAGGTTAAATCCACTCAGAGGCACCTTGGAAGAAAGGACTGGCAAGCAACTTCCGAAAACTCAGCCTCTGAAAACCCTGTGGCGTATAGATCCACTCTGGCATACACAGGGTATCCGTGAGTCGGGATCACCTCAACAGCATCTGGTAAGCTATGTACCCTGCCAGCGAGCTGGACACTCTGCAATTCAAAGATGAGTGCCTGATGCCCTCATTTAAACAGCTCAAAATCTATTCAGGGAACCTAAAGAGCAAACTTAAGGAATAAATAAAGGGGTTAGAGAAACAAAATGAGTTACAATTAACACTGACCCAGGTAACATCAAAGGGTCAGACTCTTAATGCCATTTCCTCATAAATTCTACACCAGACAAGGAAGGCCCACGACTGGGCCCAGATGGCATTTTTATCAGAGAGAGGTGAATCTATTGGGCATTAGAAAACAAATACTTTAGAATTCAATGACTTTTTTTTTTTTCTTCCTCTTTCCTTACATAAAATTAGAAAACAGTGCAGACAGAAGTAAGTTGTCATTGACACCTTTGAATTTTTTTCAAAAGTCATTCTGTTCCTATTCCTAGCTTCATTCTTTCTCATGGTTCTGAACAAACTAATATTGACAAGTCTCTATGGAGAAGAAATATCTATCATCCTCTTCATAGCAGGATCAAAGCATTATAACATCCTAAGGAAGTGTCTACAGGTGAAACAGTAATATATAATGGGAGTTCATTCACAGTATAATACCAATTCTATTTACCAACCGAAGTTCATTTGGAATGAAATGAGATTCATTTTTTTCTAAACTATATTCTCACTTACCATCAGGATTTCGATCTATCCACCAGAAGCGAGGCACAATGGGTAGGGGAGAGAGAATGCAAGGCAACAGATTATCCGTGGTAAAATTACAACATAAATTTAAAACATCTATTTTAAAATATAAATTAAAATTTTTAAGAGCCCATGGATAGTTTAAATGGCATCCAGATCAAACACAAGTTAACTCAATTCACAATTAAAAAGTAACATGAACAAATGAAATCCAACAATATATTTGTACTTCCATGCTCAGAAGACCCACTTCCAGTATAATGTAGCAAAAGCCTAAGCACAAATCAGATTCAATATGTAAATGACATCAAGAGCACTAAAAGAATTGGTTAAAAAACAATCAGAAAAAAAACTTGAGTAAAAGGCCAAATTACAGAATATTAATATTTCCAGCCAACAAACAAAACGCAACGCACTGCCGTCGAGTTGGAGCTGACTCATAGCGACACCTCCTTCGGTTTCCGAGGCAGCATCACTATGGAAGTAGGATTGCCCAACCTTCCTTCTGAGGAGTGGCTGGTGGGTTTGAACCGCCAGCCTTCAGATTAGCAGTCAAATGCCTTAGGCACTACGCCACCAAATATTGTAATTTCTGTGGACGCTATTGTGGAATAATGTGCTGTTAGATTTTTTGCTTTCTTTTTTTTCTGTCTTAGTATTCTTTAATTTTACAGACCTGTGTTTCATTTTTTTATTTTTTTAACTTTAATTTAGTTCTCTTTGAACTAGTAAGAGCCTAAGCTCTGCTGGTTTGGCAATGATTCATAATCTTTTCAATTCTGTCTACAGAAAAGCATAATATTCACAAATGATATCTATAACTAAATTCACAGACTGAATTTACAACTCTATAATATATTTTTAAACATTTGTTCACTTTCTTATAGCCATTTATCTATTTTAAATTTACCTGCATCCAGTGTTACTACTTTTCCTTGAAAAGGAATAAAACAGTCAAATTAATGTATTGACACTATCTCCAACTGCATATTGGTAATGTAACAAGTGTGAAAGGCATAATAATATCCATGATTATTAAATGTTCAATTAATGATAAAAGATCTAAAAATTTTACCCAAAATCTTTCTCGCTTTTTCATTTCACAACTTGAAGTAGTAATAAGATTAAAAATATCAATGTTCTTTTCAGCAATATCCAACCAAAACATCTATCATTCCTTAATCCCTTCCTTATGAAAGTTTTGTATTTCTTTATGAAGCCAGCTTTATCGAAGCTGTTTAAACATAAAAGCATTTACATAACCCCAAATTTTGAAAATATAGGTAAACAAAGTGGGCACTTCTGGCTAAAAATGAATTTTTAAAAAATGTAAAACAAACTATCTCACAAAACAGAAGAAATAGATTTTCAAAGCAGGTAAAAGGTTATAAAATCACTTCAGAGCATATAGAATTGTCAATGCATAGGTGAGAAAGTACACTTAGACAAACAAAAGGATTTTTCCAGTTATTAAAAATGTTTTCACATTCACACAATGGAATACTATGCAACGCTAAAGAATAATGTAGAATCTGCAAAACACCGCATAACGTGGATGAACTTGGAGGACATTATGCTGAGCGAAGTAAGTCAGTCACAAAAGGACAATATTGTATTAGTCCATTATTGTAAAAGTTAAGGAAAGGTTTATCTATTGGAGGACATTTTCTTTGTTGGTTACCAGGGGTGGGAGGGGAGGGGAGGGAATGCTGTTAGATAGATAGAGATAAATATTGATTTGGGTGAAGAGAAGGGCAATGTACCAAATGGGAGTGACCAATATGGCAGCATTGAGGATGAGAAAGACAGAGAGAGTTACATGGGCAGTACAGACAACAAATATGAACCCTTTTGCATATACAGTACTGAGTTATCAGTGAAAGCAAACATGGGTATAGGGATGGATAGATAGGTGAACAAGCTAAACAATTAGGTATGTCTAAATGGAGAGTGTATCCAAGATCATATATAGGGTTGGCAGACAATGGGCCTATAAGTTCATGTGAATGATCAGAATTCCCAGGTGTATAGTAGAGCTGACAAGGGGCAAGGTTATGGTCATTGCTTGGTCACAGCCAGCTACCCAGAGGGACCGAGTAGTTGATCCTGCGGGCTTGGGACCATAGTCGCAGGGGACATTAAGCTCAATTGGCATAACATACTATACAAAACATTGTTCCACCTACTACTTTGGCGAGTAGCGACTGGGACCTTAAAAGCTAGGAAGCTGCCATCTAGATGCAATAACGGGTCTCTCCTCGTCAAGAGCAAAGAAGAAAACCAAAATTAATGGAAACAATCAGTCCTAGCGACTGGTACACCATCCGATCTGCAACCTATACAACTATGAGACCAGAAGAATTAGATGGTGCCCAGCTACCACTGCCATCCACTTGGAAGGGATGTAGGAGATCCTGCATAAAGAGGGAGAACAATGTGGAACAAAACTCAAAATCATTTGGAGGCAAAAAAAAAGAAGGTGGGGACCAGGTTTGCTGGTCCAATAGAGCCTGGTGTAACCACTGAGACTATGGCCCCTAGCTGCCCTTCAGGTCTGGAATTGAACCCACAACTGTGGTTTCCAGCCAAACAAAGTACAGGCATGTGAGTTAAACATTTACCTCAAGTAGACACATGGCCTGGAGAGAACAATCATGGGAGAAGGAAGGGCTGCTTATGCACAGGGAGATAGCTCAGGGTGCAGAAGAGTATGAAGGGATGGACACTGGGAGGAGGTAACTATGGGGAGGAAGTGGGAGGGGAGCTGCTGCATTGCAAATTTTGGTCAATGACATGAGACAAAGTATATGTGAACTGCTGTATGAAAAGTGAATTTACTCTGTAAATCTTCACCCAAATCCTAATTAAAAAAAAAAAAAATGTTTTCAAATAAATAGACACAAATGTAGAATAAAAACATGACGTACTCTAAAAGACTTTAAAACTAAGAAAATTGTACAGAAATATTTAAAAAACACAAATACAAATTTGTTGAAATATGCTATAAATAATCACTATGATAAAAAGGTTTTGTAAATAAGCAGTGACTGGTAATTCTTATTTTCTACCAATCTACTGATTATCAGACTATTAAGCATAAGGAATTCACTATATAGAAACTAAAAGGACCATAAATTTACACTTAACTAAGATGAAATTTGTAATAATCAAATCTCCACTAAACTAGAAATAACCTTTTAAAATCTAAAAGAGTTTAAGAAAAACAGACCAAATTTTAGTAGAGTCCTTAAATATCTGTTCTTAAGTATTTTCACATCTACAGTGTTTTATCTAGTCACTAGACCCATGTCTGAAACTCTGAATGCCTTACATCTAGTGCCATCATATTATTCTTTTCACTAATTCAGAGTAGCCTTGCCTCTTTAGTCCAAATAAATTAAATCTGACTCAATACCATTCTTCTAGTTGGAATAAAAATATACAAAATTTGCTATTAAGTGCAAAGTTGAAATCAAATATTATAATGGAAATCAGCCAAACAGACATAGCTAATTACTCATAACACACAGCAGTAATGTGGACAAGCAATTTTATTTAAACCCTGAAAGGAGTATTTTTCATTTAATAATATTTTACAATGTGTTTTTCCACCTTAAATACTTAAGCATCTAACTCATAATAATGGACTAATTAAATTCCAATAATTTAAAATGAGTGATTAGGCTTGTATATTCATAAATAACTGTATGTTTACCTGTTGGTCTGGAATATGAAACAACAGCATTTCCTTCCAATTCAGATGGTGTATAACTTCCTTTCAGATAAACAGAAAACGCTACTGTTCTAGTAGTCTCTGGTGCTATAAGCAACGTAAAAGTAATAAAAGTTATTAATAATTGTTATTAACAACAAGGAGCTCTGGTGGTACAGTGGTTATTCAGCTGCTAAGCAAAAGGTTGGACAATGGAACCCACCAGCAGCTCTGGGAGAGAAAGATGAGACAGTCAGCTTCCATAGAGTCACAGCTTAGAAACCCTATGGGTCATATAGGGTCACTATGAGTCAGAATCTACTAGATGGCAGTGGGTTTTTTGTTGTTGTTTTGGTTACTAACAACAGTTAAATTTATTAAGTACTCATAGCATTTCAGATACTGTTCTCAATGAGGTAAGTACTATTACTGTCCCCATCCTAGAATACAAAGAGATTAAAAAGATTGCCCAAAGTCATACAGCTAATACCAGAGCTGGGAAGTGACTCTAGAACAAGAGCACCTAACACTCTACTATACTGCTTTTCTTCACTCAGATGAACAGGCAGAATCATTCTTTGTTTTTCTTTACTCAGATGATACAGGTATACAAAAGAGCAAGACAACAGCAGAAAAAAATTACCCTACCTAGAAAAAAGATTGCAAGGAAAATTGGAAGGGTGGATTCTATATGGATTTAGCTATGGTGATTTAGCAAGGAGCTCTGGTGGCTCAGCGTGTAAGGCATTTGACTACTACTAACCAGAAGGTTGGAGGGTCAAACCAACAACTCCATGGAAGGTAGATGGGGCAATCTACTTCTGCAAAGATTTACTGCCTTGGAAACCCAATGAGTCAGAACCTACTCAATGGCAGGGTTTGGTTTTTGGTTTATGGCGATTTAGCAGATTGTGACAGGCCCTCTACATTACGGTATTTGGCCTCCAACCTGAATAGAGAACCATAAGAGATATTTTAACCTGAAATATGAATTGTTCAGAATGTGCTTTAGAAAGATAAATTGGGAAGGATTGAGAAAAATTAGAAAATAAAGTGAAAACCAATGGTAGGGAATCACCTACAAATTACTTCATTCAATCATTCAACCATTCACTCATTCAATAAGTATTTACTGAATACCCATTTAGAAAAATGTTTATTCAACTCCTTAGCTCATTTTTAATGGAGTAGAACATTTCAATCTACTACTTATGCTACATGTTTTGTGGTTGCTCATTTCTCCTCAGGTGATTTTTTCTAATTATATGGCAGTGATTTTTTTAAGTAGCTGCGATATTTTATCCTGAATAAAATGCAAGCACTCAGCTAAGGAGAAGAAAAAAGAGAAAGAAGTTCTTAACTTCATGAGTAAGAGACAGAAGTTTCAACCGAACAGCAGCATAAAGGAAAGAAAAAGACTTAGAAGGTAATTCACAAAGACTTGGGTGCAAGTGGTTGGGGGTGAGGAAGTTTACACAAAGAAATCTTACTAAAATTTGCTATTCTCAAAATGTCTACTATTTTAGGTTATTACAGATACTTTACATAGGTTCATTATTAATTAAATCCTCTAAACAGGCTGCAAGACAGATATTATTATTCTTTTTGCATATTAAAAAAACTGAGGCCCCCAGTAAATACTGTGTAATTACTTAGGAGTTTGCCCAAGGTTAAATACACATCACATGAGCATCAGGAGCCAGGATTCAAATTCAGTTCAGTCTCCAAAGTCAATATTCTTTCTTCAAACTCTTAATGATTCACTAAATAAGTCACGGGGAGCTGTGGTAGCGTAGTGCCTAAGGCACTTGACTGCTAACCAGAAGTGGCGGTTCAAACCCACCAGCCACTCCTCGGAAGGAAGATGGGGTAATCTACTTCCGTAGTAATACTGCCTAGGAAATCCATGGAGGGGTCACCATGAGTCGGGTCTGACTCAACGGCACATAACAACAACAACAACAACAAATAAGTCAAGAGAGACAAATGAATAAAGAAAGTCTTTCAAACTATAGTATTAATTACACATCCACCTAATTAAGGAAAGCACTTGAAAATATATAATCCAAAAAAACTAATTAAACTCAACAGCTACTGATTAAATGCCTGGAGAAAAAATAACACAAACAAAATATAATACAATCATTGATTTTGGGAAATTCCCACTCTCACTATTCAGAAAGGAAATATGTCATGGGCAGGGGGACCACTAATAAAAAAATGCTAAACCATTGTAAATGTTAAGCAAAAAAAAAGACCTTACCTAGAAATTCAAAGGTAAAATGATCGCAGGTCAATACTAACGGTGGTTGCACATAAACTGATAATTTGGCTTTTTGCAATGCCAGTCGACTCTGCAGTGTGACCTAAGGAAACATAAATTGTAATTAATAGAAAAAGACATTTTATCCAAGTTGACAGACTATTGTGACTATTTAATAATCACTGGCATATAATTAGAAAAAAATAACCTGAGGGAAAATAAGTAGCCACAAAACATGTAACTTAAGTAGTAGATTAAAATATTCTACAGTTAAAAATAAGGAGTTGAAGAACATTTCTCCAAAGAAGACATACAAATGGCCAATAAGCACATGAAAAGATGCTCAGCATTAATTACGAATCATTGGGGAATGTAAATTAAAACCACAGTGAGATACAACTGTACATCACTGGGATGGTTACAATCCAAGACAGGCAAACAATATGGAGAAACTAGAAGCCTCATACATTGCTGGTGGGGATTTAAAATGGCACAACCACTGAGGAAAATAGTTTGTCAGTTTCTTAGAAAGTTAAACATAAATTTACCACATGACCCTGCGATTCTACTCCTAGATATATACCCAAGAGAAACAAAAACCTATGTCCATACCTAAACTTGTATACAAATGTTCCTAGTAGCATTATTCATAATAGACAAAAATGAAAACAACCCAAATGTCCATCAACTTATGAACACGTGAATGTATTATATTCCTAAAATAGTATATTATTCAGCAATAAAAGAAATTATGTACTGATACACGCTATAACATGACTGAACATTGAAAACATTATACTAAGTGAAAAAGCCAGTGGCAAAAGACCACATAACGTATGAGTCCATTTTTCTAAAATGTCAAGAATAGGCAAATCTATACAGACAGAAAGGTGCCTAAGCCTACAAAGGGAAGAGTGTTGGGGACAGAATGGGAAGTGAGTTAATGGGTACAGGGTTTCTCTCAAGGGGTATGAGAATGTTCTAAAATTAGATTGTACTAATGGTAGCATAGTGGCTAAAGCACTTGACTGCTAACCAGAAGGCTGGCGGTTCAAATCCATCAGCCACTCCTCGGAAGGAAGGTTGGGCAATCCTACTTCCGTAGTGATACTGCCTTGGAAATCCAAGGAGGGGTCGCTATGAGTCAGGGCTGACTCGACGGCACATAACAACAACAACAACAACAATAGTTGCACAGCCCTGTGAATATATTAAAGAGCATTAAATTGCATAGTTTAAATGAGTGAATTGTATAGTATGTGAATTATCTCAATAAAAATATTCTATCAAAAGCAAAATATATGGTATCTGTCCTCATGGGCTGTTGAATAACCACAGCATTAAAGATTTTATGAATATTCATTTTTTTCACCTATAGTTATAGCATTTTAGCATTAATCTCTTCCAGTATCAGTATATTTTCTTTTGTAGAAATTAATTATTCTCTAAATATGTATAGTGCTCTAGATAAGTATCAAAGCAGTGCATTGTCTTCCAGGGCTTAACACAAAAACATATGGTACAGCTAATTCTAGAAAATATCAAAGAATGTCAATATTGACTGGTGCATTTCTAAGCTGGTTACATTTTCAAACTGGTGATCTTGTTTGATGACACTAAGAAAGCCCTCCCACCCCAATAAGAATCAATAGCTAAGAACTCTGGGATAACAGTTGGCCTGGGAGATGGGGTAGGTTTGAGTAGAGAAGGTCAGGACTTCTCTTACTCCCCCCAGATAAGGGTCAGTAGAAAACATTAGACCCAAGGATCTTCACTGGGCCACAGTGCTAAGGAGTGGCATGGTCAAGCTACCAAAGGAAAGGCATAAAGACCCAGCTCCTTTGGGGCATGTTCTCCCTTTAGATTTGGTCTACTACACTTTCAGGTCTTTGAATAATCTCTATGGGATGACTTCACCCCATGTGGTTGGTGAAGACTTAGCACAATCTCCTGCCTAAAAAGGGTTGCTAGAACAATCAAGGTAGAATCTCTGGAGTAGATATGGACAATGATAATTTTTTATAGCCCCTCACATGATTCCTGTCTACAAGAGTTGAGAACTCCTCTTGTATATGGTGCCTTGCTGTGGAATAGTTCAGTCCAGTTTACAAGACTCTGGTATAATAGGCAGATACATTTCATTAACAACTGGCATAATATTTACCCTCACAATAATTTTAATTTACCCTCACTTAATTTTAAGAAAAGTGGTTTTGAATATTTTCTTATGTAAAAGCCATGCATCATTCCTTAATTATATATAGAATTAAATTCCATAAATTTCTTATATTAATTTCCAATGACGTGGGTATTCTGTACAATTTAAAAATAAATGTATTTTTTTTTATTTGCAAAGTAAAGTTTTTTGAGACAATTATGCAGATAAATAGGATGGCCACAGCAAATGGACAATGAATCCTTGGTTTTCACTTTGTAAACACTGAGAATACACAGGACATGGGTGTGTACAAAACAACGCTTCCTCAATGATGTCTGACCGTTGTAAATGACATACTACCTTTTTAATAAAATCCTGATGGTACTTACGGAGATAAAAAATTATGAAAGCTTCAAAGACAACTTCCTTTCAGACAGCTAGCCCACTATGTAAGCAGGACACAACTTAATTAGGCAATCTACTTCTATATGCAGACGATACAACTTTGCTTGCTGAAAGTGAGGATGACTTAAGGCACCTACTGATGAAGGTTGAAGAATACAGTCTGCAGTATGGATTACGTCTCAATATAAAGAAAACAAAAATCCTCACAACTGGACCAATGAGCAGCATCACAATCAATGGAGAGAAGATTGAGGTTGTCAAGGAATTCACGTTGCTTAGTTCTACAATCGATGCCAACGGAAGCAGCAGTCAGGACATTAGACGACGTGTAGCATTGGGAAAGTCAACTGCGAAGGAACTGTTTCAAGTGCTGAGGAGCAAGGATATCTCCTTGAGGACTAAGGTGCGCCTGACACAAGCCATGATATTTCCAATCGCCTCGTATGCATGTGAGAGCTGGACAATGAATAAGGAAGACCGAACAAGAGTTGATGCTTTTGAGTTGTGGTGCTGGCGAAGAATGCTGAAAGTACCGTGGACTGCTAAAAGAACTAACAGATCTGTCCTGGAGGAAGTGCAGCCAGAATGCTCCTTGGAAGCAAGAATGGCCAGACTTTGTCTCACCTATTTTGGTCATGTTGTAAGAAGGGACCATTCCCTGGAGAAGGATGTCATGCTTGGTAGGGTGGAGGGTCGACGAAAGAGGGGGAGGCCTTCAACGAGATGGATTGATGCGGTGATGGGCTCAAGTATAGCAGGGATTGTGGGGCTGGCGCAGGATAGGGCAGTGTTTCGTTCTGCTGTGCATGTGGTCGCTATGAGTTGGAAACGACTTGACGGCACTTAACAACAACAACAACAACTTCTATAGTGATACTGCCTTGGAAACCCAAGGAGTGGTTGCTATGAGTTGGGTTCAACTCGATGGCACATAACAACAACAATATAATGCTGCTAATAACAACAACAATATAATGCTACTAAAACCAACTCACTCCCGTCAAGTTGATTCCAACTTATAGCAACCCCCTTGGGTTTCCAAGGTGGTAAATCTTTACTAGAGCAGATTGCCCAGTTTTGCTTCCGCGGAGTGGCTGGTGGGTTTGAACCGCCAGCCTTCTGGTTAGCAGTCAAATGCTTTAGGCACTATGTCACCAGAGCTCCTTATAATGCTGCTAGTCATATTATTTATTAGCATGTCTCTATGCCACTCCTTGGAAGAAAGGTTGGGCAATCCTACTTCCGTAGTGATACTGCCTCGGAAACCCAAGGAGGGGTCGCTATGAGTCGGGGCCGACTCGAGAGCACATAACAACAACAACAACATGTATATAAAACAACTCTAATGATTGTTATCATTAATACTATTTTATTTCTAAGTATTTATGACTAATCATGCTGCTAGTCATATATATTTTTAAATAAAATAATATTAATGATAACAACCATTAGAGGTATTTTATATATGTAGACCCATGCTAATAAATGATTTGTGTGCATTTTCTCATTTAATCTTTAAAACAGTGTAAAACGGGTACTATCATTATGCGCTATTTTACAGAACTGTAAACTGGGTCTTGTTCAGGCTAAATAATTTGCCCAAGCCATTCTGATTATAAGTAGAAGAATCATGATCTAAATGTGGGCTATAGGAATCCAGAGTCCATGCACTTAACTTACTGTGGTTAAGTCTCAAAATAACCATACAACTGAAAAAAAGGCATCCCCATTTTACAGTTTAAGAAAGAGAGGTTCAGAAAAGCTAAATAAAATGCCCAAGACCATAAAGCCAGTAAGTGCTCAAGTTAAAAACTGTGACCAGGCCCTTCTCATGAGGGCTTAGTTTTAAAAATGAAAATGAAAAAGCCTTAAAGTAGTAATAAGCCATTTGTAAAGCAGCAGACATTGTGACTCTGCCTGGTAGAGCGATGTCTATGTAGACAACGATCACGCAATCTGACATTGTTACAAGAAGGGTTTACATTTGGTTAAGATGCATGATCGTGATATGTCTCATACACAGATTTATTGAACCCCAACAATGGGCTGGGCCTTTTCAAAATGTGAATCAAGGAAGTATGTGATGAAAATAACTACAGTAACAAAGAATAGTTGTGTTGGAGCCAAGAAAAGAGTTAAAGTCTTGGCTAGATCATAAACGTCATATTTTAAGAGAAAAATAATTATAGAATATTAAGGAGAAAATATAAACGTTAATATGAGAATTTTCCATGCTATTTTCTGCTTCTAACAAAATGAAATATGAGTCTTAGGAAATATAATCTTAAATTTTATCCTAGATATATAAATACGACTCCAAAGGCCAGGTATGAATAACTCTGCCTCGTTCCCTGGAATAGATGGTCACGCATCATGCACACATACTCAAGGTAGCCACATCTTCATTCACTTGGAACTGATGGAAAACTCTTCTCAATTAACAGGATTTATTATGATGGAAACTTGCATGGTTATGTATCTTGGCCGCTGTTGTTATAAAAGACCATAAGAAGAGATTTATAGCAGACATTTGTATAGAAACTGTCAGACAGAATCAGGAAGTTATTGTGTCTGCTGGGTAAGTCCAGTCAATTTTGTGCAATGTGTGTTTGCATTCTTTCTCATGCACTAAAATGGCAATGAGAAACAGAGATGTGACTCAGTCATTATCAAATATAGCAAATTTCACTTACGAAGGAGAATTTTCCAGGAGTACTATGCCATCCTTTTAAGGTAGCTATTACACATGGAAGGCTAAGAAATGCAGGGGAGGGTAAGGTGTGTTTACTTACCACAATTATTCATGGTTAGGGAAAAAGTTAGCATGAGCAATGTTATCTCATACAAGAGTTCTTTTTGCAATTTACAGTGTACTTCTGAATTGTTATATGTATGTGTCTGAACAATATAATTAGATAAGTATAAAAGAAGTTTCCCCGAATGAAAGTGTATAGATTATTCCTGGAACTCAGCAGTATTTTGGGGGGTTTTCTTTTTGTTGTTGTTGCTATTTTTTCCCCTAAGTATTTGATTTCTTTCCACTACTGCTTTTCCAGACTCAGAAGTATTAATGAGATAGAGGCTTTGATTGGATAGGGGAAGAGGCACTGGGAAAAGACCACCCTTGTTTCCAGTGGCAAGGATCCAAAAAAATTAGCTTAGGAAACTGTTATAAGATTGGGCTCCCTTCAACTTTTACCAAAGATCTCCACACGTGGGCCACCCGCTGGATCCAGTGTAAGCGAACACAATTGGTAAAGTCTGGTTCCCTGTCAAGCTCCTCCAAGGACAGCAACCCATAATCTAAGAAAATATAAAGCCCCGTCCAAGTTTTGACTAAGTGAATCGCCAAAATCCACAACTTTCCCTGGCTTCCAAGGTCTGGGCAGTGATAAATATTTTCAGCCTAATAATGTGCTGACTGATTACCACACTTTAATCTAAATGTCTTAAGAGGGTTCTACATTTGAGTTCTACTTCTAAAATTCTACAATGACAGAACTAAAAATCTTAACCAAAACCACATCCTTCATATTCTATTATTCCAAGGCTATCAATTTGTCACCACTCTACTTTGTGGCTTCTTCATTAAGTATTTTCTTGCTATAAATACATCCATCTAAAGCTAATGTTATGGCAGATAGGAGACCAGGATTCTTTTCAAACACATAATCATATATAGAATAAAGAGATAATTAGCATTTATAGGATCTTCAATATCATTTCACAAAATACTATTTATGATGCTATAATCAATTAATTGGTCTGTTATGAATGATAATGACACAATTCCTTTAGCATATTTTAAATGTCAATTATATTTCTACTAAAAAGACCCTGGATCATGCTGAGCATTTAAAGAATGGTAGGAGTAAGTCATAACAAATGCTTTTATTATATACTTATTGCTAGAAATATAATGATCAGTTTTAGGTATGTTGGTAATAATGAAGGTTATCTATTCACAATCCAAGGCTGAGGAAGACATTTCAAGTGTTTATTTTGCATTTCCGTAAGCTACTTAGAGGGTGACAACAGTGACAGATGTGATGAAATATGTAATAGTGTTTGCACATTACAGTCTAAAACCATTGTACAATACCTTCACTGTGACTGAAGGGACAAGGTCAGTTCCCACTTCAATATCAGTGGCTTGCTGTAAATACAGAATCAAAAAGAGAAAGCAGAAAAGAGTGATTTCAGTATTACACATCAGTGGGTGAACACAATGGGTACAATATATACTTTCCACTAAAGAAAAAGAGGAAACTAACTACAAAGTATTTATCACTGTGATGACAGACTAAAAGAGCCAAAGTTATTTTTTGATACCTTCATCTAGAAAGTTATGAGCTAATATTTAAAACAGCCACCTTGGTCACATATTTTATCAAATCACTCTATTTCCAAAGGTACTTAAACATTCAAACTAATTATTTCTATTAACTTGTTCATTATATTATATAGAAGAAATCTCTTTATTTCCCAGATAAAGATTATGCATTCTTTTAGGCTGGTGTACCTTCAACTTTCCAAAGGTATGTTTTATTCTGATTAATAATATAGAGATTGAGAGCCCTTACACCTAGAAAATAAAATGGGAGTGTATTTTGTTTTTACTAATACATATGTTACACCTTGGTCTTAGCCTATTCTGGCGTGAACATTTTTCCCTCTTAATCTAACTAAGCTGATTCTCAAAGGATGCTTTTGAATTAGTTTACTAATACATATCACAAACTAATTTAAAAGCATCCTTTGAGAATCAGCTAAGGTAGATTAAGAGGGAAAAATGTTCACTCCAGAATAGACTAAGACCAAGGTGTAACATATTTTCTAATAATACCCATATGAATTCCCATAAAGTCTCTATTAAACTAATAAATCAGATCTACTATGCTTTAGATTAATCTAGTTAAAATTTTTCTTACTAAGAAAAACTGCCACTTCTAAGCAATAAGGATAATGAAAAGGGCATCATCATAATTAAGAGATAGCAGATTCATAATTTATTTACAGCTCCATAGGAAATAGTATTTGAACTGTGATCTACTATCTCAATGAGAGAGATAGGATAGCAAAGCTTGTCTCCTCTATAAAAGACTCCACAGCCTAATATAAATTATATTATTTTTGAGCTTTGGGCTTTCATAATAATGATTCAATATAAAATACTAAGGAGCTCTAGTGGCACAGTGCCTAAGGCATTTGACTGCTAACCAGAATGTTGGTGGTTCAAACCCACCAGCCACTCTGTGGAAGGAAGACTGGGCAATCTACTTCTGTCAGGTTTTACTGCCTTGGAAACCCAATGGGGATCACTATGGGTCAAAACTGATCAGTGGCAGTGGGTTTAGTTTAGTTTATAAAATATTACACCAGGCTTTTTGTTTTAGTATTACCTAAAATCCAGGAGATATTTTACACTTAGCATCCACAAAGCTAGAAGAGAAACCAGCATCTCCTGTTTCTGGTTTTCTCAACCCATGTCTAAACACCTAGATACTACAAGCAGTCCTTTGGGAACATAAAATTATAGCCAAAGAGAAATGGCCAAAGGAAGATACCATAGCACCTTAGACACATAAATCATAGGGCTAATGTTTTCCAACAGAAGGAACATAATACTTTGAAGAAATCTCTTAAGAAAGAAAAATAGTAAGACAGAGAAAATGAAGCTGGAAATAGACACCAAGTTGAGAGGAAGCAGCACTCCAGGTTACCAGTAGAGAAATATACATTACAATATAATGCTACTCCATAGGTCCCTTCCTACAAAGACCAAAGGTTTCTAAAAAACAGACAGGGAATTCTTCATTCTAAATAGCCTATGATTAAGAGAACCTAGAAAAAATTATGTAAGTTGCCTAAAGGAAAAAAATAATCATTTCCAAGGCAAGAAAATGTGTGTACATTTGTCAGCTAACTAAGCAGAAATGTTCCACTCAGACTACACCCTTCAGGTATAGTGAGAAATGGTGTGTGCTGAATGGCCAACGTTAAAACAGTGCTTCTACTATGTGACTCGGCTGGGTAAATGTTTCTTTCATATATAGTGCTTTTTTTTTTTTTTTAAGTGTACCCAATTTACTATTCTATGGCAATGGTAACGTGATTTTTATCAAAACTCAGGTTGGCTGTTTAAACTAAGATTAATCTTTAAAACACTCATGACAACCACTTATATTACGCTATGATACCCAGGAGCTCTGGTAGCATAGTGGCTAAAAGCACTTGACTGCTAACCAGAAGGCTGGCGGTTCAAACCCACCAGCCACTCCTCGGAAGGAAGGTTGGGCAATCCTACTTCCATAGTGATACTGCCTCGGAAACCCAAGGAGGGGTCACTATGAGTCGGGGCCGACTCGACGGCACATAACAACAACAACAACAACAACTCAAATATTGAGGTCATTTTCCAGGCAGAATTATATGATGTGAACTCCAAATATAGCAAGCCAGTGAATTCAATCCTTGCCTAAATTGATCAACTTTTGGTAGAGACACAGATAAACAATACATTTTGCCCAAACTGTAAACAATGAGACAACCATAGCCAAACAACTTTGTTGTTGTTGTTATGTGCTGTCAAGTCGGACCCGACTCATAGCGACCTCTCCTTGGTTTTCTGAGGTGGTATCACTACGGAAAAAGATTGCCCAACCTTCCTTCCAAGGAGTGTCCGGTGGGTTTGAACCGCCAGCCTTCTGGTTAGCAGTCAAGTGCCTTAGGCACTACGCTACCAGAGCTCCTAGCCAAACAACTAGTCACAGCAAAATAAACAAGGAAATGGGGTGGTATACCGAGAACAGTCCCTCTTTCATCTCTTTTGTTCCTCAAGTTTATTGATTCATTCATGAAATAAACAGATATTGAGAGCCCACTATGTGACAGGCACTAAGGATATGGCAGTGAACAAGAGAAGTAGTGGGATGTAGGTGATGATAAGGATGATGAATGTTAGAAGAAGTAAAATATGATTAGATAATTATGATGATTAATAATTATCATAACAATTTGACAAAATAGATCATAATTCCTACTTTATAGAAGAGAATAATAAGACAAAGAAATTTAAATAACTTGCCCTAGGTTATACAAAGTGAGGGGGAAAAATAGTTTCTGGACCAACCACCCACTTTTAAACTACTCCTCCCTACCCTACAATGTACTAAAGACTGCAATTTATCAATCCTTGAGCTAAATCATTCATAAACATGATGTTAAGGAATCTTTAAAAAAAAAAACTTGTGGGGTCAGTATTACTCATTTGGATTAGAATTAACTCAATACTCTGGAATTACAGAAATTTGAAAAATATTTCAGTACCAAATAGAACCAGAATAAGACAAGAATCTATTCTGCTTCTGATCTTCCTCCCCTTTTTCTGGCCCACTCATAAACAAAAATCCTCCCCAAGGATTTCCTAAGAGATGTAAGAGGCTAGGAATGTTTGTATCCAGAAAGCAATAAAACCTAAAATTTTTTATCTACCCAACCAAAACCAAAACACCAAATCTACTGCTGTCAAGTTGATTCCAACTCATAGCAACCTTAAAGGACAGAGTAGAACTGTCCCATAGGGTTTCCAAGCCTGTAAATCTTTATAGAAGCAGACTGCTGCATGTTTTTCCAGTGGCGTGACAAGGGGTTTCAAACTACAGACTTACTGGTTAGCAGCCAACTGCTTTAACCACTGTACCACAAGGCCTCTTTCATTATCTGCTCTGGGCAGTTTCTATTTGGAGTCCTAGAATTTAAACTGATATTGTAACCCCAGTTCATCAGAACCAACTGCTTTAACCACTGTACCACAAGGCCTCTTTCATTATCTGCTCTGGACAGTTTCTATTTAGAGTCCTAGAATTTAAACTGAAATTGTAACCACAGTTCATCAAAGCCCACCACTATCGTAAATCTCTTTAAATACACCTACAGTCACTGAATCAAAATTAGTCGAAACCATGGCAGAAAGTGTCAAGTCATCTTCTCTCTCAGTCGTGGGCCAAACACCTGTAGTTTAAAAAAAAAAAAAAACTATTTAAACTAAAATGAAATAAAACTTGAAATATAAAGTTTTTTTTTTTTCTAAAGGTTTATACATACAATATTTTAAATAAAAAAAACAGACATACAAGTTGAAAAACCTAATTCAATACAGAATTAGAAGCTTGATGCTAATTCTTTTCCTCAACAATACTGTAAAAGAAAGCTGCCTAAAAATATTTGCTAAGAGGTGACCCAGAGGTTGATCAATGGTGGCAAATAATACACTCTCATGAACTAATGACAGAAGCCTAAATTAGCACAACTTCTTTGAAAGTAGTTTTGCTGTAACTATCAAAATATAAAAGGTACATATTATCCTGTGAACTAACAATTTTACTCCCCAAAATTTATGTAATATTCACAAACATGCCAAAGGAAGTTCACTGCAACACTATCAGTAGTTATTTTAAAAAGTAATAATTAAAAACTGAAAACAACCTAAAGAGCTATATATCTCCCAATAGGGAAGTGATTAAAACAATTATGGTATATTCATACTATGCAATGGTCCAAAGCTGTAAATAAAAGTGCTGTCAATCGTTATGAGAGCTCTGGTGGCATAGTGCCTAAGTATTTGACTGCTAACCAGAAGGCTGTTAGTTCAAACCCACCAGCCATTTCTCGGAAGGGAGATTGGGCAATCTACTTCCATAGAGATACTGCCTCGGAAACCCAAGGAGGGTCACTATGAGTTGAATCGACTTGACAGCAGTGAGTTTGGTATTTTGGTTTGGTCAATCTTTATACACTGATATGAAAAGAACTCCAAGATATACCCAGTATTTTTTTTTTTTAAAGTAAGATGTAGAACAATGTGTCTCATATGCACGTATTTGTGTAAAAAGTTAATAAACATGAAAAATTCATAAATATGTGGATTATACAAAAATGTTCACTATGGATAACGTTTAATCCTTTCATGACCAAATTATTTTCTGCTTTGAATTTTTGTTGATATTATGTGTTTTCAGTAATGGAAAGCATGATAAAAACAAAAGAAAATTATTTTTGAGGTAATAGGGATTTTGATTAAAATTTTGTGGGGCACATATGTCCCAAATGGACTCTGGTGATAGGATAGGTGGGGTGAAGCCTGTTTCCACAGATTTACACAGTTATAAAGTTCCCTGCCAAGCAATACCACATACTACAACTGGTAATAGCAGCTTCTCAAGAAACCAGAGAGGCTAAAAATGTTGGTGGGCAACTTATATCCCATGGGTCACGAAAGGGTTAAGGAATAACACCAAGACTTGAGATTGAAGGGAAATATGTTTTCCTTTGTTTGCACTTTTAGTACTGCTTGAATTATCAAATACACACAATTTTAAAAACTGTTCACAATTTAAAAAAACTTATGTACATAATGAAATATTTTGAAGAAGTGACAGATCCTAAAGAGAAAAGAAATATAAATAATATTTATATACATATATGTGTGTATAGCTGCCTACCCAACGGTGATTCTTCTCCCCTCCTCCTTTCTTGGCAGAGCCCTAATTTTGTAGTATTCATCTTCATTGCAGGGAAAGTGACCTCTGCAAAGCTCCAGGGAGAATCACAATTGTTCAAATCCAATCATGGTGATTCTGTTCTCTAAACCCTTTATTGTTTTAGGCATGAACATGTGACTTACTCCTGGCAAATGGGAAACAAGGGAAGTTAGGAGCATGGGGTGCTTCTGGGAAAGCTATCCCTCCCTAATGAAATGGAAGATTCAAGAGCTATTTCTCTTCCCTGGAAATCAGCATATCCGTACATAGTGCCTGGAACTGCTGAAGTCACCTTGTGATTTTGAGAGGAAATATTCCCCATACGATGAGGATGGCTGACTGAAACTATGGAAGGAAACTTGGATGATGCCACATGAATTATCTGCCTCACAAAAAGAAGATCACCTGCAACTGCCATCAGGCATTCCCACCAACACTGCAAGATTCAGAGTGGGAATTTCCATAATTCAGTTACTGAGAATACAAAAAGTTGATCATTGCTCTCCCAAGAACAATTCTTCAATTCTGCTTTTCCAAAAGAACCTCAGTATTATTATGAGCAACAAAATGGTTAGCTATGACATGTGATTTCCCAGTCTCTTCTACAGCTTGGAATGGCCAGTGAGATGTGAGTGAAGTTGTTCAGAAAGTGGCTTTCAGGAAAGCTCCTTAAGGGAGTTGACCAGCTGCAGAGGTGAGGGCAGGTGCTCCAGAAGCCATCCTGACCAACAGATGACCTGAAGGAAGAAGGAATCTGAGTCCCTGGTGACTGTGGGGCTGACAAGCCAGCCCTAGCGTGCCCACCTTTGGCCTTCTTTTACATGAGAAAGAAATTAACCCCTACCTTCTTTAAACCACCTAATCTGGATATTCTGTTATATGTAGCCAACCATAATCCTAAATGACATAACTTCCAACAAGGTCACCTAGTGTAAATGTTCCCAATATTCAAAGGTCAGAGTTTATATATATATA